CTAAATAGCTTGAAAAGATCAACTTCGGTTGACCTGCACTTTACGCAAGACCAGCGAAGGCCCTTGCCATCATTAATAGCGTCCAGAATTCTTCCCGTCAAACCAGCACATTTCAGATGGTAAATACCATCACACAGCCAGCACGATAAGTAGCGTTCAGAATCGCTTTTAATTTGGCAAGTATCAAGATCGCACTTCATATTGAAAGATTTATGTAATACACTCGTTAACAAAAGAAAAACAAAATAAATTATAACAATTAAGGAGCTGATGTAAATAGCTTTAAATAAATGTAGCGAACAGTTTGAGTATCACTGTAATTATGACACTTTATAAACGCAAAGCAAACAGCTGTGACAAGAATTACTAAAAGAAGTAAACAAAAAGGGTAGAACAAATGTGCAAAAACAAAATGAATTCAGTTAACTACAAAGGATACAACAATGATAGCAACAAATGACTCGTCAAAATTAGAATGTATGCTACTGAAATTTAATTAAATTTACTTTAATATAAACACAATAACTTTCACTTAGCTTCAATTATTTCACACTATGATGCTCATAAGCACTTTTTATCATACTTTAACTCAGAATTAGCACAATGAACTTAGTAAGTATAAAGCCAAAATCAGAGAACAATAGAGTACAACCTCACAGCTTGACGTTTGCTTGAACTCTAGAAAAGGTTTTTTTTTTTCAATGACATTTTGTCTATGCTCCTCGCAACGTTATTAAAAGTCCCGTGCCACTATTTTCGTTAACGCTAACTACAGACTGCCCATATCCGAAGCAGGAGTTTTCCAATGTTATTCCCGGCTACGTTTCATATGTATGTTTATTAGACTGCATCACTCCCCATACAAAAAAAAAAAATCGGTACTGTTTTTCCATTGGAATTATAAAATCTATATATTTTAAGACAATTTTTAGATATTTTTGCAGATTTTTTAAGCCTGATCTGTTTTGTCATCTGAGGGGATTTTTTCAAAAAGTTCTTTAAGAAACTATTTTTATTCATAAAAAACTCAATTTTTGGAGGTATTTTCAAATCGGTCCAGCTCGCTTAAATCTTAATATTTTTCCAAAATATTGTGGTGGACGTCTTAAAAAATAATAAATTTTGTAGTCCCGGTGGAAAAACCTCAACTTTTTTTGGTGATGCAGTCTAAGGTTTATGTTGGGGAGAAATAGGTAGGATAGCAACAAAATAATGTACTATGTATTTAAACATATCCATAAACATGCGCACATCAGCAGCAACAAAAAATTTGCCATTTGGATACCATCCAATGTTATCCATTCCCCTGATTGATGTTTGAACCGTAACCAGAGATCGTTTTTTTTTCAAACGTATTGAACACTAATAACAATCTTTTGTATATTTCGATATCAAATGAAACGTAAAAAACAATATGGGTCTTCACACCGAGCTCGGTATTCGGTAACTCGGTGTCCGTAAATTTTTTCTAATGTATTTTGTTTGTGTAAAATAGTGTTAATGTATTTTGTTTGTGTAAAATAGTGTTACAGAAACAAAATACATGGGAAAAGATTACCGATCACCGAGTTACCGAGTACCAAGCTTCGGTGTGAAGACCCATAATATCTACGATGCATGTAGCCTGCCTATGGATCGGTGTGTAACGTGTGCCCGGGCTTACTAGTGCTGTTATAAAATTAAGGTAAATTGAGGTGCGTCGACGCACAGTGCCGCCTAAGTGGGCAAATATCTAAAAATTCTTTGTCTGCAATGTCAAAGTGTTTGGTATTTCTGGAAAGGTAATTTATCCACTAAATAAAATAAATAGAAATTTCCCTATAAAACTAATTATAGGCCGCCAGGAACCAATAAAAGTATAGCCATGTGTAAGCTCTTCACCGAAATAAATGTCAAAAATTCATTTTTTGAAATAAAGTATCGGTTTGACGTTTTTTATTTCCATATAGATAGTAGATAGTAGCTGCAGGATTAAACACTTTGGAATAATATTAAACACAGGCTGTTCCTGCGGTACTCCAGAAAAACCCGTTTTTTTTATCAATGCGTTTTGCGTAATGCGTTTTTTGCTAATGCATTTTTATTTTTAGTCAGTGACGTCAGATCTGCACGATTCGTTCTATTTTCAAAAATGAAGTGTCAGATTACAAAGCTTGACCTGAAAATTTATTTTTTTTTAAATAGTTGCCACCTGTTAAAAAATCGAATTCTTATTTTTTTAATAAGTTAAACGAATTATTAAGAGAGGGGTATCAATCGAAATTTGTATGAAAAGGGTTTATTTCTTAACTGTGTGGAAAGGTTTGCAATTTGTTGAAGACATCAAATTCCATTGGACCACCATATGGGAGTCAGACGAAAGAGGTTAAGAAGGTTTTAGCTTGCAAATATTACGATGCCACCTGTTTGTAACGTCAAATTTAGTTAAAATAAAATAATTATTGTGTCCAACCAAAGGTTTACGACATCGTATTTGTTATTTTATTACAAATACATACATTGCCAATCAGTTATTTGTTCTGATTACATTCTTTTTAAATTACTGTACTCTTCACTTGACTAAGGAATGTTCTTACTCTGCATATATTTCATGCTTAATATGTCTAATTTTTTCTTTTGTCTGATACCCATATTGATATACATATTTCAGTTAACTTATTTCGTTAATTAAAGTGAATTTGATTTTTTAAACATGTGACAACTCTTCTACGTGTCATTTAAAAGTTAAGCATTTTCAAAACCATTTGAAGTGATACCCATATTGTCATATCTAGTTCATTTAACTTATTAAATAATTTTTTAAAAATTTGTAACAAGTGGCAACCCGTTCCAAAAAAATAAAACTTTATTGCACATCTACAGACCAAGCACATCTACAAGATCATTTGATACCTCACTTTTGAAAATAGAACGAACTATATGCACGGTCAAAAATTTGGGTTTAATTTTTAAACCGCGCTGGGACTACTGCCTTTTTTAAACTTTTATAGTCTACTCTTTAAACCAGTCAATAGTTTTACGCAATTTTTAATATATTCTGGTTTAAATTTTAGCCCAAAAAGTCCGTGGTTTAAAAATCAAACCAAAATGTTTTAATTCTAGTTCCTAGGTTTCAAATATAGAAACTTTGGTTTAAAATCTAAACCGAAATAGAATATGCTTGCACAGCGAATTGTGGTGTTGATTCAAACCCAACATATGAAAGCATATTTACATGCGTGGCTGTAGCTGAGTGTGCAAAGATGCTTGATACAATTGGTTGCTACCAAGGCTGTCCGGGTTCAATCCCAACCAGACGGAGCATGAAATTTAAGATTGTTTTTTTTTTTTTTTAATTATGAAAATGTTTGGGTTTAACATTTAAACCGAATTGTTTAAATTCTAAACCCAACATATGTGCTCTCTTTTTTATAAACTTGGAAGGTTTGTATTTGAAACTGAATTTAGTTTGGTCATATATGTAGTCCAAAAAGTTTAAAATTAAAACCGAAATTTTTAACCGTGTATGCATGTAAATAACTGCGTTAGATTTTTACATACATATTTTTCAGGTTTTCAAAATGCCACCTTTAAAATTGAAAAGTAAGGTCTGGAGTTTTTTTTAACAGAAATTCAGATGCTTCCGCCACATGTAAACTCTGCAACAAGAATCTGAAAACATCAGGTAACACCTCGAATCTTCGCTGCCACATTGAGAAAGTTCACAAACAGATATTACTAGAAACACAATCAAGTGATAAAGCAGAATGCTCCTCTGAAGCTATTCCACACACGCAACCGAAACCACAAAAAATTTCTGAAATTATTAGCATTGCGCCAACACCTTCGCCACTTCTTAGTGAGGTATCTGAGAGTACAAATGAGGAGACAGCATGTATTATCATTGAATCTCAGCCTACGACATGTACTCCGTCAGTATCAGGCAGTAAACCGAAATCTCAGTTGCCTACGGCAGCACTGATCCAACCAAATGTCAAAGACTTCTTCGAGCAAGTTAAGAGCATTTCTTCTCAAGACGGTACTAGGTCAAGGAAAATCACTGAAGCAATCGTCAAGTTCATTATAATGGACAACAAACCATTTTCCACGGTAGAAGGAAATGGTTTTCTACAGCTAATGAAAGAAGTGGTTCCGCTCTATAAAGTCCCAAGCAGGGAGACAATAAAATTGCGCGTGGATGAAAAATACGAAGCGTTATCATGCATTTTCAAAGAGCACATTCGTAAATGCGAAAGTTACTGTCTAACGTATGACGTATGGACAGAGACAATGAAAAATCAGTCGTTCCTTGGGGTAACAATCTATTTACTGGATAATTTACGTCTGTTAAGTGGAACATTAGGCGTACTTGAACTACACGAAAGTCACACCGCTGCTTCTTTAGGAGAACATTTGTCTCGGCTTTTTATCGAGTGGAACGTATCCACAGATAAAGTTTCTGCTTGCGTAACAGATAACGACAGCACTATGATGAAATTGAATAGAAACTTGTTTGGTGACAAAAAAATAATTCCCTGCTTCGCACACACGCTTAATTTGGTTGTCACTCAGGCAATAGATAAGTCAACGGAAGTGTCAGCTTTGATCAGTAAGGTGCGGGACATTGTTAAGTTTATTAAAAGAAGCGGTAACGCCAGTGATGAATTGCGAAAGAAACAAATAGATGCCGGGGCTTCTGAAGGTAATACAAGGAAAATGATTCTCGACGTAAGAACGCGATGGAACTCATGTTTTTTTATGCTAGAGCGGTTTGTCCAGTTAGCATCTATTTTAAGTGAAGTACTGCTCACTCGCCCAGAAGCACCCTCTATGGTAACTGGCTCTGATCTGAACAATATCAAGGAGGTGATTGAGTTATTAAAGTCGTTTGAAATTGTTACTAGGGAGATTTCTGCGGATACCTATGTTACCGTTAGCAAAGTGATACCGCTGGTAAGTTCTATAAGTGAAGCTCTGATAACAATTTCGCCCCGAGATGCCATCGTAGTGGAGCTAAAAAATGAACTGCGAAAGAATATGAACAAACGATTTGATAAACTTGAACTTAATTCGATTCTGGCGTTGGCAACTACGTTAGATCCGAGATTCAAATTATTGCATTTTAAAGATCCTCTGGCTAAAAGCAAAACAGTTTTTTATTTTAACAGTTCTATACGAGATGGAAAGAATGACGCTGGTACGTCTGAATCTTCAAATGAGTATGAAAAAGAAGAGCAATCTTTTGATATTTGGATACATCATAAACATTTGGCTCACCAGAATATAAAATCTAAACAGTCCAATTTATCTACAATCACAACAACGGAAGTTGAAGTGCAAATGTACCTAGGATCAGCTGTTGCTCCTATTAACCAAAATCCAATTGAAATGTGGGATGACATGAAAAGTGTGTTTCCGGGGTTATATAAACAAGCCTCTAAATATTTACCCATTGTGGCTACTTCAGTCCCGAGTGAACGACTATTTTCAAAAGCGGGAGCAACTATCACCTAGCAACGGAACCGTTTGACAGGGAAACGACTTTCCAAGTTGTTGTTTTTAAATTCCATTCTAAATAAATAACTTTTTGTGTTCCATAATAATCGTATATATTTCTATTATTTATGAAGGAAAAATGTAAATAGGCATCTTACAAAATGTATCCAACTAAAGAAGTACTAACTACTTCATTGGCTTTGTTTATAAGTCTGGAACTAACCTTTTATTCTAACTATGAGAAGTCGTAAAAAAAAGTTGGAAAAACATCGATGCTTCGACACATCGATGTTTTGAAAGCCGATGTTTTTGATTTCGATGTTTTTTGAAGAAACATCGATACATCGAACCATCGATGTTTCATTTCACGATGTTTGCATCCCTAATGTTCTGCCGTTGCCTTCAAATTCCCCTCTAACAGGGCCGTTTTCGCATCCTGTGACCGCTTTACTTTTGGTGTTGCTCGTGGAGTAAGCTTTCGAGCAGGAGTATAGCAGGCTGCAGAGGTGCTTGGTAAATCTAACTGACTGGAGCTTGATTCATCCTCACTTTGCATCGAGGGAGCTGCTGGTGTGGGAGTTCTTACATCTCCAAAGGTTGGGACAGACTTGATCCCCTCCACACAAGCTTCTATCCCAGCTGCTTCAATAAGCAACTCCTCTGCTGGTGTTAGCACCTTCTTCTGATAAGGTCCTCCACCTGTGCGTCGTTTCGAGGCCTTATTAAAATATAACTTTCTCTTTGCATTAGACTTTTGATCAGCATATACCTAAGACAAGTAATTGTTAGCGTTGTTTTTGATAAAAATATCAAATACATACCTTTTTCCACAGCTTTGGGAGTTTTGTTGGTGGTCCTACTGCATTCAACTGCTTACTTAGCTGTTCCCATAGTCTGTTAGCAGTTGCCTTCCCTTGCAGGCAGTTTGGCAACAAATTTTTGGCCAAGTCCGGGTGTTCCGCCATGAATTGCGCCATCAACTCCTTTTGAGTGGAGTTTAATTTACTATTGTTAGTCCTAAAATATTTTAAATGGTTATACCTATATATTTATTTGCATATATATTAAATTTAGTTACATTTTTTTTAATTTTCCACGAAATATGCTCGCTCAAGTTTGCCAATTGTCAATCGAATGACATTTCGATGATCGAGTACGTTCAGTCACACGTTCACGAGTGCCATCATGCCGAATTTCGATAAAAGTGTTCGTTATCGATAGTCATAATTCGATATTGCCATATTTACGTGACGAGTAGCTCGTTCACGTCTGTCACGATTCAACCCCAGAATTGTAGATTTCGTAAATTTTAAAACCATACATTGCTTTACGAATGTTTTTCGTAAAATAAACGTAAGATTTCGTAAATTGTACTGAAAAAATGTCTTACGAAAGTCCTTTCGTTATATTTACGTATGGTTCGTAAAATCTTGTTTCGTTGTGAAAAATGTGTTCGTATTATGAACGAAAGTTTCGTACATTGTATAAAAACCAAGACTACGAAAGTTTTCCGTAGCACTTTTACGAAATTTTATTTTCAGTGTACCCTTTTAAATATGCCTCTGATTTAATAATAACTCCTTGAGTTTTGTATTTTAAATTACATAAATACTACTCCCTCTATTAGTTAAATTAGGTCATGGTTACTTAGCGATCTTTATTTATTTTCATTGCGAGTATATATGTACATGTACTTAGTTTCGCAACTAATAGGCAAGAAAAATTGTAGCAATATTCCTTCGCTGCAACTCAACTAAGACGCTTTCTATAAGAAAAAATTCATTTCGAATTATACATAAAACAGGGGACTGAGAAGGAGTAAAAGGAATATTTGAATCAGACACTAATGCCCCTACTCTTCGAATGTGAGGCGATTTCAAGATGGCGTGAAAATAGTCTAAGTTTAATGTGACCAAAAGTCAAGCGATACTCCTTATCCTAAGTCCTTTTATTAATTTTTGGAAGCAAAAGACCAGATCAAGAGTTCGAAATGGTTAGGGATACAATGTTTCCATTAGTTTACAGAGTAAAACTCTTTGATTTATCTATCTACATATTTATATAATGGACACATAAAGAAACTAACTAATCATGGTAGAAGATGGTATCAGAGGGCCCCAGAGAAAATATGTACATACCTACATATCGTTACCTTAATTCACAAAGGCCCTAACCAAAACTTTTTTCTAAACTTCGTTCTTCATAGATTTTATTGGGATGTGTATATTAAAATACACCTTCATTAAAAATTTTAAAGTGTTAATTCCCAAGCTAAAAGAAGTTATGCCACATTTTGAAAATCCTTTGCTGGATTGCACGATTTTTTTTCATAATGTTTTTTGCTCCTCCTGTAAAATAGAAAATTTGCTGGTTAGGACCTTTGTGAATTAAGGTTGATATGTGCATACATACATATTTATATGGAAAGATGCTCACAGCGCTAGTTCGATCTTAAATAATGTTCAGGCGACGCTACTACTAATCAATCAACCAATGCATCGCAAAATCACGTCGCACAGCGCTTCCCTTCCATATGAAATACGGGCAAAAATAGAATTATGGACGGATTTAAATGAAAATTCGCTCCTGAGAAAAATTGAGGACCTTAAATTCAAAAATGCAATTTACTTTTGAATAACTTCCATACTTTCACTGTAAATGCAGGTTGAATTTGAAAATTTGGGTTTTTGTGGCATTTACATAAATATGTACACACGGTTAAAAATTTCGGTTTTAATTTTAAACTTTTTGGACTACATATATGACCAAACTAAATTCAGTTTCAAATACAAACCTTCCAAGTTTAAAAAACAGAGAGCACATATGTTGGGTTTAGAATTTAAACAATTCGGTTTAAATGTTAAACCCAAACATTTTCATAATTAAGAATATAAAAAAAAAAAACAATCTTAAATTTCATGCTCCGTCTGGTTGGGATTGAACCCGGACAGCCTTGGTAGCAACCAATTGTATCAAGCATCTTTGCACACTCAGCTACAGCCACGCATGTAAATATGCTTTCATATGTTGGGTTTGAATCAACACCACAATTCGCTGTGCAAGCATATTCTATTTCGATTTAGATTTTAAACCAAAGTTTCTATATTTGAAACCTAGGAACTAGAATTAAAACATTTTGGTTTGATTTTTAAACCACGAACTTTTTGGGCTAAAATTTAAACCAGAATATATTAAAAATTGCGTAAAACTATTGACTGGTTTAAAAAGTAGACTATAAAAGTTTAAAAAAGGCAGTAGTCCCAGCGCGGTTTAAAAATTAAACCCAAATTTTTGACCGTGTATGTATATTACGTACACACTAAAACTACAATAAATTTGTGCGTGATAGCAGATGGATGCGGAACAGATATTAAAATAAACAGCTCACAAAGAACTTCTGAAATTCAAAGCAATAAATTATAATTAGACATAAAATGTATTTTCGATTACCTTGTAAAATTTACCTCGCACTATTTCATGAACACATTCTCCGTATTTCGCAAGTGCACATTCCGAATTCTCCGTATTTTACAAACAAACACACGAGCTAGCGAGTGAATTAGTGGGTTCATTCTTTCATTCATGACAGTGTGGCAGAGCGTTTCGAAATGAAGGGTTTCGGTTTAATACGAGAAAAAGTGTAGCAAACATTTGAAGTAAACTTAATAAATCAATTAAAAAACATCGATGTGAAACATCGCTCCGAGTAACATCGATGCATCGATGTTTTTAGATTTGAAACATCGATGGCAAACATCGATGCTTTTTGACTAAAACATCGATGTTTCAAAAACATCGATGTATCGTTTGCATCCCTACAGAACATCAGCGAACCATGTGCGGTAAATTCGACGAGCTTCTTGAAATCCAAAAAAGACAGCTTGAGATTAGTGAGAGGAAAGTTCAACTGAACGAGAGACAGCTTGAAATTAATGAAATAAAGCTACAGATGAAAGAGGCGGAGCACCAAAGTCAAATGTCAACCAGGCAAGTTGACTACCACATAAAGTGCCTAGAATTGGAAGTGTTAGGCTCAAAGTCCAAACCCTAATTTATTTTATGTGATATTGAATTAATTAATTGAATTCGAAATGAACTTGATTCAAATTCAATCGGAAGTGAATTGCAGAAACTGCTGGAGTATTATTTTTAATTGTAATTAATGTTGGTATTGTTGGTTTTTGCTAATAATTCTATTTTTAGAATGTTTAACTTTTAGGTGTGCTCGTATTCTAAAAATAGAATTATTAGCAAAAACCAACAATACCAACAACCACTTGATCAAGTGAATTGCTGCGGAATAGCTTCGCATGATTGTGTTGGCATAACAAAAATGAAAATAGTGGAAAAAAGCAAACGATAATTTACAAGGCGTACTTAGCACGGTGCATAGGCAACTGGCTGAGTCAGTGGGATCGTCGGTTCGAATCCTACTGAAAGAAGTCTGATGAGGAAATGTAGTGATTTCCGAAATAGCTATCACTTCTACCATTTTTTCAAATAATCGTTCCTTTTCCACAATAAATTTTCATTTAAAAAATGGCCTCGAGCTCATTATAAAATTGTTGAATATAATTGTTAAAAGGCCAAAAAATTAACAAAAAACAAATAACTTAAGGACGAGCACACCTAAAAGTTAAGCATTCTAAAAATAGAATTATTAGCACAAACCAACAAAACCAACAACCACATGATCAAGTGAATTGCAGCGGAATAGCTGCGCTTGATTGTGTTGGCATAACAAAAATGAAAATAGTGGAAATAAGCAAACGATAATTTACAAGGCGTCTTAGCACGGTGCATAGGCAACTGGCTGAGTCAGTGGGATCGTCGGTTCGAATCCTACTGAAAGAAGTCTGATGAGGAAATGTGGTGATTTCCGAAATAGCTATCACTTCTACCATTTTTTCAAATTATTGTTGCTTTTCCACAATAAATTTTCATTTAAAAAATGGCCTCGAGCTCATTATAAAATTGTTGAATATAATTGTTAAAAGGCCAAAAAATAACAAAAAACAAATAACTTAAGGACGAGCACACCTAAAAGTTAAGCATTCTAAAAATAGAATTATTAGCACAAACCAACAAAACCAACAACCACATGATCAAGTGAATTGCAGCGGAATAGCTGCGCTTGATTGTGTT